GGCCGTGCACCCCCTGTTTGGTTCGCGGTCGAGCATTCAAACATAACGAAAGTTTGACCGTGAACTTTGAACAAAGGGGACATGTCACTAAGCAATATCTTACCGCATCTGAGTATGCACAACTACTGAACACATTCTTTATTGTTTCAGCTGTCAACAGGGTTCCCGGCTGCCCCCACCCCCATGCATACCAAGCCCTTCGGGTTTGGTATGGATTTTGAGGGGAACCCACAGCAAATTTTTTTTAAAAAATGGAGTGGGGGTCCCCCCCAAAATCCATACCAGACTCTTATCCGAGCATGCAGCCTGCAAGTCAAGAAAGGGGGGGACGAGTGAGTGCCCCTCCCCTCCTGAACAATACCAAGCCACATGCCCTCAGCATGGGGTGGGTGGGTGGGTGCTATGGAGCAGCCCCCCCCCTCCCCCCAAAGCATCTTGTCCCCATGTTGATGGGGACAAGGGCCTCTTCCCCACAACCATGGCTGGTGGTTGTGGGGGTCTGCGGGCAGGGGGCTTATCGGAATCTGTCATGAGTATGGGGTACACGGTACCGTTATCCATTCACAAAAAAAAAAAAATGTGTAGTGGAAAAATAAATGACAGGAGACAGTCTTTGACAAGTCCTTTATGAAAAACAAAAATTTAAAAAATGACCCACCCCCTTGTGACATCATCATGCGCTGTGATTGGCCATTGCATTGCACCTGACCTGTAGTCAGGTGCATTGCTTTGGTCAATCACAATGCACTGTCAGAGCTCAGTTTATTGTGGGGCTTGGCAGGCGAACAGCCCATTGAATGCCCTTGCCGCTCATGTGTTCACCGAACACACGAACGGCCAATGTTTAAGTCGCACATACAGCCCATCCCTACTTTCTAATCTGTACCATCATTCTCAAAAACCCTTTTTGCCCAAACTAAATACAGAGCATGCAAAGAACTTTCTTTTACCGATTGAGGCCTAGGAAAGAATGAGTGGCCACACACTTTATTTTAATAAAGTGTAATGTTTTAAGGATAAAGCACTATTGTGCTTTTTTATATTTAATATATGTACCGAGTGGAGGAGGAGAGACCAAGGTGTATATTTCTGGAGGAAGAGCTATACCTGGGATATACCAACTGGTTTATTTCCGACCCTAAGGGACGCATGCATTTTCCTCTTGTAAAGGTGTGACTACTGACAGGACTGACGCCATCCAAACTGAACGAATCTTTGGGAACCGGTTAAGCCCCTTTAAGTCTAGAAAAGGCCTTACATCCCTATTCAGCTTTGGAACAGTGAACAGGTTTAAATAAAATCCCTGGAACCTTTTGTCCAGTGGAACCTCCACAACCATCTTGGATACATTGGACCATAAGAAACGGGGAGGAGGAATTCCTCGAAACACCAGTTTGCACCCCTGAACAATTGTAGCAGTGACCAACTTGTCCTGGATCAGCTCTTCCCAGATTTCTGCAAAATCCAAAAGTCTTCATAATGAAGCGGACTTAGATCTGACCTGGCGAGCTTCTGCACCAAGGTTTCTTCTCGCTATGGTCCTGAAATTTTCCCCTAGACGCAGGATCCTGTGTACGGTGAAATGCTTCCCTACCGGAAGAAGCACCAACCACCGAAGTGCCTGGCCCCTTAAAGGTTGGGCATTTGGACTTTCTCTTAAAGGGTAAAAGCGTACTTTTTCCCCCTGAGATCTTCTGGATATATTTGTCTAGGTCCTCCCCAAACAAACGCTCTCCATGAAAGGGAGAACCCACCAACAATCTTTTGCACGGTAGTTCTACTGCTCAACTCTTTAACCACAAGATCCTGCGCATTTGTACTGACAAAAGAGCCATGCAAGAGATCTGCTGATTCGAATCCTTAAGGGCATCAACTTCAAAACATCAGGCCTGTGGTAAATTTGCCAATTCCACAGCCGTATCCTCCTCCAAGATAGATGGTCTTTTATACACCCGTTTAACACGGTCATCCAGACTCTGACAGATACCGATAGAAGTAACTGCTGGTTGTGCGGCAACCCCTGCCAGGGAAAAAAAAGCCTTGAGGAGCAATTCTAATTAAACACCTTAGCATTATCCACAGGACAAGTTAAATGCTTATTCAGGGAAGACACAGCTGCGTCTACCCCTGGCATGCCCCACTTTCTAACAAACCTCTCCTCCATGGGATACAGAAGGGAGAATCTTTTAGGAGGAACAAAACTCTGTTTGGGTGCTCCCAGTCACTATACATAACTTGCTTCAAAAGAGGATGCACCAGAAATGCCTGAATACTTTAAGGCAGCTTTAATGAGCCCAAAGAGGAATAGGAGACCTCAGATGCCTCTACTGGGGGTAATCTGACTGGAACATATCAGTGAGGGTTTTAACTAATAACCACTGTGATTGAGAAGCAGAAACCCCCTGCTTCTTATCAGGCTGTGACTATTCCATAACGTAAAGCACTGAGCAAACTGTCGGCGCTATATAAGTCCTGTATAATAATAATAATATTCTGACAGAGAATCAATTACCTGACCCTCTTCAAGATTCTCTATCGCATCTTCATCCTCAGCCCATCTTGTTCAAGGACTGGTCCAAAGATGGGGATCTTTCCCGCTTCTTACCACCCCTGTTAGGAATGGAACCATGGCCAGCAATGGTGCTAAGGCTCACCTCCATTGCCTTTTGATGCTGCAGTTCAGGGCTGGCTCAGATTGACCTGTTCTTTCAGAAGAAGATAACGCGGCGGAACTTCGACTAGGCTCAATCCTGGCAGTGGTGCATTTGCACCCTTTCCTGCTGTGCCTCCCCCCACACAACGCTTTTTGGATGACATTACCTTTACTAGTGTTACAAGAACTGTGTAAGAGTTTAATCAAAACACAGCATTCACAATGACCTGCTTAAAGGGGTATTTAAGGGATGGCCAGACCCACAGACTGGCCGCACTCCCAGGGAAGTACTGTGCCCTGTGTCCTGGCCCTGTATCTGTCCTGCATCCTGTTTCTGTCCCTCTGGCCTGACCCTCTGTACTACGCTGCTTGTTACCTGTTTTTCCATCTCTGGCTTGTGACCCTGACCATCCTGACTCTGCCTGACCCTCTGTACTACGCTGACTTGCTGTGCTGAACCTGGCTGCTTGCTACCTGCTGACCTGGCCTGTGACCCCGACCATTCTCTGCTTGCTCCCCCTGTACCTACCTGCCCAATTGATATTGACCTGGCCTGCCTGACGACGCTTGCTTGTATGTACTGTTATCTGTGGGTGGTTGGTTGGGTTTGTTTGCACTATATTATGTTTAGTATTGCACTGCGTTTATGTTTGTATGGTTAGTGTTAATAAATTGTATTGTTTATCACATATCTGAAGTCTGCGTTTCCCTGCATCAGTCACACACCTCTGGTCATACCTGGGAGCCCTGACACACCCACTCTTGTTCAAGGACTGGTGGGTCCAAAGATGGGGATCTTTCCCGCTTCTTACCCCCCTGAGCCACCGATGCAACCATCCCAGAAAACGTGTCTTTTAACCCTGCTAAGGCTGATGCAAGATCCTCCATTGTTACGTACGCCGAAACTGATGCACCGGTAGTAGCCACAATGCTGGATAAATTCAGTGGCTCAGATTGACCTGTTCTTTCAGAAGAAGATAACGCGGCGGAACTTCGACTAGGCTCCACAGGACCTGGCAGTGGTGCATTTGCACCCTTTCCTGCTGTGCCTCCCCCCACACCGCTTTTTGGATGACATTACCTTTACTAGTGTTACAAGAACTGTGTAAGAGTTTAATCAAAACACAGCATTCACAATAGACCTGCTTAAAGGGAAGCAACACACTCCAATGCAGTCCACTGAAAAAAAGGGGGTAGCATGGATACAACCCTCCTGCCTGACTGGCCGACACTCCCAGGGAAGTACTCATGTGTCCTTAGAATAACCTGCCCTGTGTCCTGGCTGTCAGGAATGGACTTGCCTAAGTGGTGGGACTCACCTGCCTTGTGGGCTGCAGTACCAGGGCTGGCCAGCGGGTGCTCTTAACAACCAGCACTTCGGCAATTAGCCATCACCTGGGGCTGATTGCAGGTGGTGTATTTAAGGGATGGCCAGACCTGCAGTCTGTGCCTTGGTGTGTGTTTTTCCATGGGCCCCTGTACCTTGTAACCTGCATTCCTGGTCCTGTTCCTGCCTGACTTGTTGCCGACCCTGCCTGATCCTGACCTCTGCTGACTTCTCCTGTTTGATTCCTGGCTTGTGACCCCGACCATTCTCTCCGCCTGCTCCTCCTGTACCTACCTGCCCGATAGTTATCGACCCGGCCTGCCTGACTACGTTGTGCTCTATATGTGTATGTACCTGTGTATCTATATCAGTTTAAGTTTGGGTTTGTTTCACCTTGTTGTATGTATTTGTGTTAGCTTGGGGTTTGGTGCACTGCGTTTATATTTGTATTGTTAGTCTTAATAAATTGTCTTATTTATACCATATCTGAAGCCTGCATTTCCCTGTGTCAGTACACACATCTCTGGTCACACCCGCATCCCTGACACTGGCCATCATTCCAGGGTCCATCAGTTGGAGCAGCAGAGGTAATGGTGGCTGCAGCAGCTCACATGTAGCATCCTATGTAAACAATATGGCCTACTTCCTCTTCCTGCTGCTACTGTGCATGCATCCCTGAAGCACATGTGCGCTCCCACACTGCGTGCACGTGCACGCTCACGCGTCCACGTAGTCTCTACTGCAACAGACTCCCTCAAGTGGCCAAAAATAGGTAGTACAGGCAGGTACAGGCAAAAAAAGACGTACTCCCCCTGGTGGTCTTCCCAGTTATCCATAGCAGACTCCTCTGCATATACCTCTCAGGCCTCAAGAAATGAGATAGGCCATCAGTACATCAGAACTGATTAATTTTCAGATACGCTATATTGCCAAAAGTATTGGGACACCCTTCCAAATCATTGGATTCATGTGTTCCAATCACCTACATGGCCACAGGTGTATAAAATCAAGCACCTAGGCATGCAGACTGCTTCTACAAACATTTGTGAAAGAATGGGTCACTCCCAGGAGCTCAGTGAATTCAAGCGTGATACCGTGATAGGTTGCCACCTGTGTAATAAGTCCAACCGTGAAATTTCCTTGCAACTAAATATTCCACAGTCAACTGTTAGTGGTATTATAACAAAGTGGAAGCCACTGGGAGCAACAGCAACTCAGCCACCAAGTGGTAGGCCACCTAAAATGACAGAGCGGGGTCAGTGCATGCTAAAGCACAGAGAGTGCAGAAGTCGCCAACTGTCTGCAGAATCAGTAGCTATAGACCTCCAAGATTCATGTGGTCTTCATATTAGCACAACAGTGCATAGAGAGCTTCATGGAATGGGTTTCCATGGCCGAGAAGCTGCATCCAAGTCTTACATCACCAAGTGCAATGCAATCGTTGGATATAGTGGTGTAAAGCACGCCGCCACTGGACTCTAGAGAAATGGAGACCTGTTCTTTGGAGTGACCAATCACGCTTCTCTGTCTGGCAAGCTGATGGATGTGTCTGGGTTTGGCGGGTTGCCAGGAGAATGGTACTTGCCTGAGTGCATTGTGCCAAGTGTAGGGGTTGGTGGAGGGGGGATTATGATGTAGGGTTGTTTTTCAGGGGTTGGGCTTGGCCCTTTAGGTCCAGTGAAGGGAATTCTTAAGGTGTCATCATACCAAGACATTTTGGACAATTTAATTCCCCAACTTTGTGGGAACAGTTTGGGGATGGCCCCTTCCTGTTCCAACATGACTGCGCACCAGTGCACAAAGCAAGGTCCATAAAGACATGGATGAGCGAGTTTGGGGTGGAGGAACTTGACTGGCCTGCACAGAGTCCTGACTTCAACCTGATAGAACACCTTTGGGATGAATTAGAGAGGAGACTGCGAGCCAGGCCTTCTCATCTGACATCAGTGCCTGACCTCACAAATGCACTTCTGGAAGAATGGTCAAACATTCAGATAGACACCCTCCTAAACCTTGTGGACAGCCTTCCCAGAAGAGTTGAAGCTGTTTTAGCTGCAAATGGCGGGCCAACTTAATATTCAACCCTATGGACTAAGACTGGGATGCTATAAAGTTGATGCGCGTGTAAAGGCAGGCGTCCCAATACTTTTGGCAGTATAGTGTATATAGATGAACACTTTCCCATCCCGCCGCAGTCCCCTGAAACTTTTTAGTCAGGGGCCAACCTTCACCCATCACGGTGAGCCTTGTCCTAAAAACTTTCAAGGACTCTGTCCCCCTTTTAAAATGGTGGCCACTGCCTTGGACCCATATAGCACCCTGCCAGAAGTGCCTTGGTCAGATCAAACTGCACAGGGTTTTTAAAACGCAGGGTCCAGGGCCGTAAAGCCGCATCACAAGCAAAACCCTGAGGATTCTTCTCCTTATCCAGTGATGCTCGGGTACCACCCATTTTGGCTAACAGCTTTTCGAATGGATCCGATTGAGACCCTTGACTCTCAGTAGAATCCTTCCAGACCTCCCAGTATGCTTCACAGAGCACATGGAGCACATGCTCAATGAATATTCAGTTTACAGACACTAGCAAAAAAACTGAGTACTTCTGTGTAGGAGGAGTTATATGGGGGAGGACTTGATTGGTCGGCCAATGTCCAGTCACCTATAAGTGGCATGTAACCCACATATTCATTATTATGGCCTACTCTGTGTCCCATGATGTACGATGAAGAAAAAAGTGTTGTCTTTAGAAATGCTTTAATCGTTCATACCCGGAGATATTACTGGTACACATGGAATCGTTTTTATAGAATAGAAGGAATTAGTTTGAATCTAATCTAAAATAAAAAGACTTGGCAAGATGTACACTCTGAATAATTATATACCACACCCTATTATACAAATAGACTTTTTGCTTCAGGCCAGCTGTTAACGTCTTCTGTGTTCTCTGCCAAGCGGCCATGCTAGTAGGTACAGCATGCTGCATTTTTTCCATTGCAGTGTGTTGTGACGCAGTACACCCCATCGCAACGTCAAGGCGGTGAATTGCACTGTTTTTGTTGCATCAGCACTGTTGGGCAGTTGGGGGGACAACAGAACACCCCCCTTTTTTTTCTTTTTCATAACAAAGGGGAAGGTGTTCTGTAGTCCACAGAGAGAGCTGGGGAACAATGCAGCTAACAGTCATCACAGGCAGAGAGCAAAGGAAGGGTCAGTTCACTAGGTTTGGGGCAGGATCAACAGGTATTTTTTCCATTTATTGAACAGACATAATAAAAGTGTATCTAGAAGAGCAAAGGGGACAAATGAACAGAAGTTCATTGCTAGGATTTAGTATATCCATACAGGTTATGGTGAGAAGAGACTGAAGCAATAGAAAGCCCTCACTATAATCAGTGCATAGCACAAGCCTTCATAGAGCAGAAGGTATTCACTTGTCACCACATATCCCCAACATTAGATCAGGGGTCTTCAGACTTTACATTACGAGCGACTCATCGTATATGTCATGGGATGAATGAAGGAATGAAATGAATACCTTTTACTTGGAGCTTTCTGTAATCAGCATGATAGGATTCCGAACAACAGAAAAAGAACTTCAGTAAAACAAAGCAAAACAGTTAAAATAAACGTAAGCCAATCAAAGTCCCCGCAAACATCAGGGTCCCCATCAGAGCCCCCTTTACATCAAGGTCCCCATCAGACCCCCCTTATATCAAGATCCCCATCAGACCCCCCTTATATCAAGATCCCCGTCAGACCCCCCTTATATCAAGATCCCCGTCAGACCCCCCTTACATCAGGGTCCCCATCAGAGCCTCCCTACATCAGTGTCCCCATCAGAGCCCCCCTTACATCAGGGTCCCCATCAGAGCCCCCCTACATCAGAGTCCCCATCAGAGCCTCCCTGCATCAGTGTCCCCATCAGAGCCTCCTTTACATCAAGGTCCCCATCAGACTCCCCTTATATCAAGATCCTCATCAGACCCCCCTTACATCAGGATCCCTTTAAGATTCTCCCCTACATCAGGGTCCCTAACAAATCCCCATTCACATCACAGTCCTCATCAAAGTCTCCCTTACATCAGGGTCCCCATCAGGGACACCGTTACATCAACGTCCCCATCAGACCCCCCCTTACATCAGGATCCCCATCAGATTCCCCCTCTTACATCAGGGTCTCCATCTGAGTCCCTCCTTACATTAGAGTCTTACATCAGGGTCCCCATCAGAGCCCCCCTACATCAGGGTCCCCATTAAAGTCCCTCTTACATCAGTGTTCCCATCAGAGCCTCCCTTACCTCAAAGTCCCCATCAGATTCCCCTTACATCATGGTCTTTTCAGATTCTCCCCTACATTAGGGTCCCTATCAGATCTACACTCACATCAGGGTCCTCATCAAAGTTTCCCTTACATCAGGGTCCCCCTTACATCAACATCCCCATCAGACCACCCTTACAACAGGGTCCCCATCAGATCCCCCCCCCCCCTTACATCAGGGTCTCCCCTTACATTAGATTCCCTCTACAGAAGAGTCCAACTGTACATGAGAGTCCCCATCAGAGTTCCCCTTTTATCAGGGTCTCCATCAGAGTACCCTCTTACATTAGGGTTCCCATCAGAGTCCCCTGTTATATCAGAGTTAACATCAGGGTCCCCATCAGAGTCCCCCCTCCCCTTACATTGGAGTCCTCATCAGAGAACTCCTTTACATCAGGGTCCCTGTTAGAGTCCCTCTTTACATCAGAATCCTCATTATAGTCCCCCTTACATTAGGGTTCCTATCTAAGTTTTCCTTACATCAGAGTCCCCTCTTACATCAGGGTCCCCTTTAAATGAGTATCCCCATCAGAGTCACCCTTACATCCTTCCTTATATCAGATTTCCCCTTACATAAGAGTCCCCATCAGAGTCCACTGTACATTAGAGTCTCCATTACAATCTCCCCTTATATCAGTGTCTTTATCAGAGTCCCCCACCTACAACAGGGTCCCCATTAGAGCCCACCTTACATCAGGGTCCTCATCAGATTTCCCCTTACATCAGGGTCCCCTTTACATGAATGTTACCATCAGAGTCACTTATACCATATATAATATATACAGTGCCTTAACCACTTCCAGTCCGGACACTTTCACCCCCTTCCTGTCCAGGCCAATTTTCCGCTTTCAGTGCTATCACACTTTGAATGACAATTGCGCGGTCATGCAACACTGTACCCATATGAAATTTTTTAGCATTTATTTGAGACAGATAAAGCTTTATTTTGGTGGTATTTATTCACCACTGAGATTTTTTTTTTTTTGCTGTGTAAATGAAAAAGTCCAAAAATTAAAAAAGTGTTTTTCTTAATAACATTTTGTAAATAAATAATCTTTCTTTATAAATCTTGCCCAAAATTTATTCAGTTATCTTTTTAGTAAAAAAACTAACCCAGATTAGCTTATAACCAAAAATTATAATTTTTCAAAAAATTTTTTTACATTTTAATTTTATTTTTCCTATATTATTATTATTATTTTTTTTTAAACATACTGTCACCCTAGCAGTACAGTTTCACCATAGTGAACACTGTACTACTTGTGGGGGGTGATGAAGATTTTTTTTTTTATTTTTTTACACTGATTGCTTTTACACCCATAAAGGCTGTAAAAGCAATCATTTCTCCTCTCTGATACTGTGCAAGCTGTGATTGGTCACAGCTTGTCACATGGTACAAGACTGTTGTGAATAGCCTTGTACCATGTGACCTCTGTGATCATTCACAGATTTCACAAGTAGTAAACAATTATGTCAGAAGTGACATCTTGCTTACACCTGTTCATGTGATCACTGATTGGCCAATCAGTGATCACATGATTAGGACCTCACACAGAGGTCCCGTACAGCGATCGGTGTTCCGCTGTGTCTGGAGGACACAGTGGGTACCGGATCGCGGTGCTGTTCTCTCCCAGGGAGCGCGCACAATCCAAAATGACAGGTGCTGTTTTTGAACGGAAACACGCTCCTACACTTCCACCGTCTGGCCGTTTATATACAGCGGCTGGATGGGAAGTGGTTAAGGTGACACTAAACTGGTTTACAAAACCCATGCACCTATCTCTTCTTATCTATACAAAGTCACAAAGTCCTTCTATGGCTCTCAGCCTCCTCCAGAGCACCAAATTCCTTTCGTTAGCTCCTGTGTTTGTCTTATAAAATTTTGCAAACAAATAGTATTTCATCATAAATCTTGGCCAAAATGTATTCCGTTATTTGTTTAGTAAAAAAAAAAAAAAAAACCCAAATTAGTTTATAACCAAAAATTATAATTTTCAAACATTTTTTTTTACTTTTTTTTATTTTTGTATATTATTATTTGTGTTTTTTTTTTCTACATACTGTCACCCTAGCAGTACAGTGTCACCATGGTGGCACTGTACTACTTGTGGGGGGTGATGAAGATTTTTTTTTTTTTTTACACTGATTGCTTTTACACCAATAA